AAAATATGTGAAACAAAACAATAAAAATTGTACTAATTGTAAAATTATAAATTAAAAGCTAACTTAAACAAATGTGTCTTCAGCAAATTTTTAAAAACAGACACAGATGGAGACTTTCATATTTCTATTGGTAAATTGTTCCAAAGTCTTGGTGCAGCAACAACAAAAGCATTGTCTCCATACGTTTTAAGATTGCTTAATTAAGAACAAAGGTGAATAGTCCCTTTCACAGTTTCCTGCGCCATCTTGAAAGGTAGCCATGCCTTAGCATTGAAGGAAGAATATGAATTATTATTCATATGTCTCCATCATTGCAAGCTCACTGTTCCTCTCACCTTGATGCAAAGGCATGGCTATCTTTCAAGATGACGCCGTGAACTGCAAAAGGGACTATTGACATTCTGAGAAATCATTAGAAGAGAGTAAAATATGAGAATGTTGGTTGAAAATTAAAGTATTGGCATTCCCATCTATAACTACAAAAGGTCACAACCTTGGAAAAATCTGTCAGGAGAAACCTTAACCTGCATGCATTTTTATGTTAAGATGCACACAGGCTAAGTGTCCTGTAGAAGCTGCAAGCATGCATGCCTTCATTGCATGTCATAAATTGAATCCTCATTCCCTCTATCAAATAATAAATACATAAATTGAATTCTATCATAGTTGTGATAATTAAACTCTGAACACAGGAGTATTTTACTCAAACCTTAAATACTGCTTCAAATGTTGCTGGCCTAAGAGAGAAAAACACATTTCGTGTGTAAGACAGCTTTACATCAAAAATTTCATCATACATAATACAGTGTATGTCAAAACTGTCAATCTTTTTTCCCTGACGAATTACATTACAATAAATTGCACCCAAAAAATTAACACAACACACCTTGACACATCAAAAACAATCACAGCAGCTATCCTACAATGAAACAAATAGTTTATTTAGTAAATGGCAATAAATGAAAAATGATGGCTTTTTATCAGTATACATGTGTGTTTATTACTTACGCATATTTGTAATAAACTCTAGTCATGTGACCAAATCTTTCATGACCTGCTACATCCCTAAAAAGCAAAAAATATATGTGACTTGGAAACCTTTTATATGCTGTAATATGAGAATATTTCTAGCGTGGAGGAACCTTTTAGGTGCAATACTAAATTAAAATTGGTTTTCTCCTTACCAGAGTTGAAGGTTAATCTTGGTCTTTGGGTCCCAGTGAATGACCTTGAGGGCAAAGTCTACTCCAATAGTGAGCTTGTAGTTTGGAGAAAAATATCCTTGATAAACAAAAATGATTAAAATCACCCATTCGTTTTAGTCAAAATGATGCCTACATGAAGCTGCAATGAATGTTATCAGCTACATTACGTAAAACGGCTTGAAAAAAGAGTGTTATTTTGATACTCAGCAAGGTAATTTACCCAAATCCGAAATACTGGCTAATAACGAAATTTTCAAAGATTGTGAGCTTTTATACAAAATCTTGGAGGACACTGCACACTTTTCTTATGAGCAACCTTATATCTAGATAACACTTACCTTCTGTATATCTTCTTATTATAGAGGTCTTCAAAATTCCATAAAAATTTATGAAAAATAGGATACAATATCAAACATTACAATCATAACAGTCAGCAATATAAACAAAACGGAAGTGCACGATACCACAAGTCCGGCTACCAATCGTATTTTCTCACCTTGCCTGTAGGATATCAATAAAGTTCTTGTTAACAACAAAGATAACTATAAGCAAAATAATACTTATATGCCCTCACCTACTCCATATTCGCCTATTACAAGAACTTTATAAAGATGCTCTTTCACATTGTCCATATCATCTTCCTCCTCCATCAGAAGATTGCTGTTAGCAAGGGGGCTGGCACTAGAGCTTCCAGACGGCTCTCACGTGACAACAGTCAGGCTTCCGGTTACAAGATCATACTGATATGAGCAGAGACATTTGATTTCAATTTTATTCAACAATAAAGGGGGAAAGCATATACAATAGCTGATAAGGCTATTAAGGATGAAAAGCATTTTTATTAGGTTCACAAGGACTAGAGGACAAAAGGAATGGCCTGCATAGGAGGCAGGGTTGATACCTGCCATGGATAGGTGCTTGCGAAGCTTTGACACAAATAGGTTGTATGTGAAGCAGTGCAGGGTGTGATGTGGTGAATGGTCTGTCCATGCCAATGCTTGTGTGTGAGGTGGGCAGTCACTCATGAAGTGAAAAGCATGGATAGTTGAAGTGGTGGGGCATTAAGTATGCTGTGTGGGATACAAGGTATGGGGATCCAAACCACCATTTCCCTGAATTGAATAGTTTTGCCCCATCTTACGGCTATGAGTATGCCCCAGAATGGATAGTAAAGTCAGATTTTGTAAGTTATTTAGTGGGGTTAAAGTTATTGCAAACACTATGTTGCTGGCTTCCTGGGTAAAAGCTAAAGACGCATTTAAAAGGCTACTCATATGATTTGTACATGAGTACTCAAATGTGTACATCCCTGATTGGCTGATACCCTGCACAAGGTACTAGTTAGCTCATGTGATGGGGATAAAAATACTTGGGTTATTAGGTTATCAAGGCACATGACCTGAGTACCTAACCCCATGCCAGGCTCCGTCTTCTGTCTAGACTCATATTAATCAGTGATTAATATCCACTGCAATTTGTTGGTTCAATCAGATAAAATTTGCAAATGTACTGATGTTTTGAACGTTACAGTAATCCTTCGTCAAAGTAAATAAGAGAAAAGTAAAAGGAAAGTTTATATATAAAGCAAACATGATCAAACAAGGAGAATAATGCCTCTTATTTATATGATGACATTTTATGCTGTTTTCTTTCCATCATCCTGGCTTCTTACTCCTTGCATTATATAAATTCTACTCTGACGAATGAACAAATGTCCAAAACATTAGTACATTGCAAGCTTTCTTACTTAGGTGTGAACTTCTTATGCACACCCATGCAGTCCAAACTAGTAACCCCTATTCATTACAAGTAAGAAAGTCAAAGCAATATGAATGGGGGACAAATGGTTATGGTTATTCAGAAATAGTTATTTAACATCAACAGTTTATTGCCTTACCTCCCTTTCCACATATAATAACCTCAGGTGCAATATTTTTATATCTTATATTTTAAAATATTATTTCAAATGTTGTTTATATTTTACAAATATTCTTATACTAGTAATATTTGGCAGTGTTAGAGTGCTCGCACTAAACCCGTGAAACAAATMCTAATTTTTATTACTAAATAGTGATTAGAAAACTCATTAATAATTCATGAAGAAAACACAATAGAAATCATGACCATGAAGGTGATTTTATATCTGATAAAGATTCGTCTTCATTTGCATAAACTTTAACTTGGATTTTCTCTATCAAGCTTGGTTCATTTCGTAAAGAAATCGGTACAGTATGAGAACAAACATCATGAGTTTTCTAAGCCGTTCAATAATCTCGCAGATCGTGTTTTATTGGGTCTAAAACCACTCGGCTGCGCCTCGTGTTTTATACCCGATAAAACACTCCTGCTCGTTTATTAAACATTACTAATCAAACAATAGGAAACAAAGGATTCTGTATGAATTACTACTAATTAGTACTAAATATTATTCACAGTTTAGAGTGCAAACAATTAATCCGTAAAACACTAATTACTAAATAGTACAAAATAGTGCTAATTAAACAATAGAAAACAATGGAATTTGCATGAAATTGTGATATTTAGTGTTACTAAAGTTTCACAGTTATATTGTTTGCACTCTAGTGCATGCAATTATAATGCAATTATGCATTATATTTTTATTTTCTTAGCTGATAGTTAAATTGATCCCCAAATTTATCCAAAAACCTCTTAGTTGCTAAATTATCCATCTCCTCTGCAACTCGTTTCATAGAGTCTCTACTAAGTACTTTCCTTTCTAAACGACTTCTTGGAGTCTTAGTTGATTTGTGAATGTCTGTTAATCTTGAGTATTTCTGTTTTCTTGAGAGTTCCTTTTCAGAAGTTCCACTTTTCCTTTTCTGTCCCTTTCGTTTTTTCACATTTTTTCCCAGATCAAGACCAGTCGCTGCTTCTATATCTTGCTGGATGTCTTTCCAGTCCTCAGTAGACGTAGCCTGACTGAGACTTGTGGAGGTACTAGGAGCAGATGTATCAATGTTTCTTTCACCTACAGGATTTCCTTTGTCATCTCTTGCAACTATGAGACCATGAAAAGGACATTTTATTCTATCTTTTCTAGGGCACAGCTTTCCATTAGGCAATGGTGCATGGCAAGCCCACTTGACTGGTTCAAACTTTCCACCAAAAGTTATTCTTCTCTTTAGCATAGAGCCTTTGTCTTCCTTAAACAACTGTTCAGCTTCCATATCGCTATTAGCCCAAAAATTGTTGAAGTTGTCTGATCTGATGATCTTAGGAGGATCATAGTTAGGGTCTTCCCAGTGATAAAGGTCCATATCGAAAGGGACTACTGGTGCTTTTTCAAGTAGCTTGCTGCGTTTTTCAGATTCTACTAAGGAAGAACTACCAATTGTTGGTATATAAGAGGTTGTTGTTGAAGAATCAGCCTGATTACCCTTTAAATCTGTAGATCTTTGTTTCTTCCTTGCTTCAAGAATGGCTCTTGCATGGGAAGTTGGATCTTCAGCATCTTTTATACTAAATCCATACTGTTTGAGGAAACTTTCTTCATGTTTGAGAGAATCATTCTGTCTAGATGTGACATTGGCACTACTCTTATTTTGTAATATGGATTCAAGTCCATACTCTGCCATCTTGTTCTCAGGAATATATTCTATACCTTCCTTTTCTGGGACATCTAAAAACTCATCTTCATCATTGTCATCATCATCATCACAGCTATTGTTTTCTTCTTTATTTCCCAATTTTATTGGAGAAATATTTAGTTCATTAAATTTGTCTTTAGCTGACTGAAGTTGTCTTTTTAAGTCAATAACACTTAAGATTCTTTGATGTGAATGACCAGCTTTTGTAAATACCTGCAGCCATTGATTAATCATTGGCAGATACTTATGGGTTATTTCTTTGTTCATTTCCCTCACAGTATTAATGATAATAGTGTTATCCTCTGTTTCATCTACTGTTGGCTGGAATGTATTTACTTCTAGATTGATTTCATATGACCGTGAGCCAAGACCATGATCTTTCACTAAATCTTCTCTTTGGTTTTCCTTGGTACCTGTATCTTCTTGATTACTGCCATCACATTCAATATCAGTATCATTAGTACTATTGCTATTAGTATTCGAAGTCATGTTTGTTAATGATTTTTCTTTTCCATCTTTTTTTCCTGGTGTATCCAGGTCATTACCAGTAGTGATCTGGTGTGTAATGTCTTCTTTTTCAAGTTCCAAACAATGCACTTCATAATCATCTGGATGAGGAAGCAGTAGTTTAAAGCAGTTATTTATTTCTGTAAGACATAACTCAATATGTCCTGTCTGTTCAGCTATTTCATTCTCAGCTTTGTCAATTTTTTTCTGTAGGATTTTTTGTCTTCTCTTTTCTCTTTCCTCAGCCTGCCTTCTTTCTGCTAAAGACCTTGTCCTAATAGCATCAAATTCAATGTGTTTGATCCTCTTCAAGTATTGATAACCCAAATCAAGCTTCTTGTAGTGGCTTCCATATTTCTGGTGCCAACTTTCGACAGCCTCAACTCCCTTTTCTTTTAAAGTTTTTGCTGTTTTCAATGGAGGTGGTAGTGGGATATTGGAGTCTACGCCAATAACCAACTCCATAAATACTTGAAACTCGCCAAGTATAAGTTCTCTAAACACATGAGACCTACTAAATAACTCTTGTATTATCTGAAAACAGGAAAATCGTATTTCGGAGTGTTTTTTCTTGAGCTGTGTGATCAGAATATGATAAGCGTGATTTACATATGAGTTGGATGTCTTGCAAATATTTTTTACTCTTTTGATTTGTTTTTCATCGAGAGATGGTTTCCCAGTCGTTGTCAGATCTTCTATAAGCTCTCCAAGCTCTTCAAGAACTGCAACATCTACTGCTGCCATTGTTCATTCAGAGATTGCCTACGATCAACGCTAAAAAAGAAATATTTAAACGACATTTTGAACATTCTCTGTAATCATTTCAGCTGACTTTGTTCATTTCTAATTTTTATTAGGGCTCATGGGAAATATCAAGATGTATAAAAAAGAGCGTTTTGATTGGTCAAAAGAAACAAAATATAAAACACCTTTTGATTGGTCAAAAAAACAAAATATAAAACGCCTTTTGATTGGTCGTTTGAGACATGTTTAGTTAACCGCTGAGAAGTATGGATAGAGGGCTCAAATATTTCAAACCCAAATAAAATATGGCGGCACATTCAAGTCAACTTTAACGAAAACACTAAGAAAATAGTTCAAGAAAACCATCAAAATGTTTTTCTGGTGGATTAATATGATATTTCATCGAAATTTTGAAGCATGTCTATAAAACGGTGACCAGGAAATGAGGCCTGCTTTTTCGACAAATCTCAGAGGAAGAGATAAAGAGCCCCAAAAGTCTAGAGAAATACTTTCGTTCACAGGTGCTGCTGTACAAGCTCTTTCTACGTTTAATAGCAATGACAAACCAGGAGAAACATCAGTCAGTTCTGGAGTAAGAGCTTCCAAATACGTCGAGCAATTGAATAGTACAAGTACCTCCAGCACGTCTGGTTCTTTAGGACAGGACCAACGTGATGTACTTGCTCTGGGTGCCAATGCTGCAAGTTCTTCACATTCTAGTTCTAGGAGTACAATAGGGGGATCATCGGGTCATGATAGGGCGGATAGTAAGGTAGATACGTCTTTCTTAGATAGTTCATTTGATAGAAGCTCAGCTCAAAGAGTAAGGATTCCAGCAAGATTACTGAGAGAAATCAAAAGTCCACAGAATGGAAATGAAGTCTCTAAAGGAAATGGTCAAAGAGGTAATGCTTGAAAATATTAATTTTGATATTAAACTTTATTGGATGAGATTGATCATGATATCATAAATTTTATGAAAATTATGTTATGGCTGAGATCTATTCAAGAAGCAAATTGAGTAAACATGTAGATAACGACTAGATTTGGAACTAGTTTGGACTGCGTCTGTGTTTTTTAGCTGAAACAAATGTGTCGTAGTAGATAATTTTATCACCATAAATAGGAAAGATAATAGACTGACGTTTCGGACGTTAGTCCTTCCAATTGACTCCGACGAAAGACTAACGTCCGAAACGTCAGTCTATTATCTTTTGTATTTACGGAGATAAAATTATCTACTACGACACATTTGAGTAAACATGCCACAGGCCCATCCCCCACCCTCATCATCCCAACTACAGACCCTTGAACACCCTATTTTGATGTTAGAGTTATTATTGACTATTTAGTGGAGGTATTCAACAGTGCAACTAAAATGACTTTGGGACAAAAATGAAAGTTTAACATGTGCTAAGAGTATCTAAAACAATAGCTGTTATTATAAACTCTCTTCATGAAAGGTATTCAGCAACCAGCAGCATTAGTTGTTCGGCATGTTGATGGGCCTTCAGCATGGGTGTCCATGGCAACACCAACATCATCAACTGATGATGTCAGAATGACTTATACAGAGCCAACAACAAGTACAAAGACTGTGTTCACTCATGAAGTATCTCAAGCAAAAGACTTGATTGAACAAGAAAATCCATTCCAGAATTCAATATCATTCATACAAGAAACACAATCTGGAGATAAACCTGGCAATGTTGATGGGAATGATGATGAGCAAGTTGATAACGCAAGTACATCTGTCTTGAAAAAGGTAAAAAATACCATTCTTACTTTAACAAGTTTTTGATTTGCTCCTTGTTGCTAACCAATAAGGTATGGGTGCTTCACTTTGATGTTTCGACAGGGCAGATCCAGGTGAATATGCCCAGGCAGAGTTTTTACATTGATGTAATGATATCAAAACATCAAAATGTGTCAATACCTAAATGGTTAGCGATAAAAAGCACATTATTAAAGCATGTTAAAAAGTTGTTTGGTATGAAGTCAAAAATATGAAAGGTACAGACTGATTAGTTTTGATTGACAGCAGCAAAAACCATATTTCAGCATGCAGCTTGTAGCTACCAAGTTCGCATGTTTATGAAAATGGCAGTAAGTGGTAACTTACAGTAAGTCTTTAACAATGAAAAAAATGAGGCAAAACTTGATACCAGTCCTGTGTTGTTTGTAGGGTAATGGTGAGATGCAGTCAGGCTTATATCAAGGAGATCCTGTTACTGGAGGCTTCATGACCAACACCAAACATTCAAGTCAGTATTAAAACTCATATACATAAATTTCTAGAACAGACCTTCTTGGCTTGGACAAAGTGTTTTTCCATTTCAGACCGCATGTTATTCCCTGTAGTATCATTTCTTTGTTTCACAAATTAAAATGTGAAAACACATGAATATGGAAACAAATCAAACAAAGAATTTTATTGTTAGTGGAATGACATGTGGTCTGGACTGGGAAAACACGTAAAGGCTAAGAATGTCTATATTGTCTTACAACATTTAACATCAAAATCATATTTTTATGTATAGTTCGAGAAATTATTACCCATACCCCCTTCCCCACAGAAGAATTTTTTATCCTTACCCCCTACCCCCAGAAATTCCAATTTTCTTCCAAGCAAGCTCTGTAATTTTGTTCTTTCTCTGACCGCCCTACCCCTCGGAAATTCCAATTTCCTTTGTGGTGGGGTGGGGGCGGGGGTAGGGAATGGATAATTTCTGGAACTACACAATAGTATTTTTGTTGTATGTTTTTTTTCTTATTTTCTTTCCTTCACAGATTCTACAAAAGCTAAATCTTTTTCATTAAGTGAGCGTGAAAGAGTCTTGAAGGAGGAGTTTTTAAAAAAGTAGGTGTTCTTGATACAACTATAGCAAATTTCTCCTAAAGTACTCCTTTGAACTTTTATCTCAGTTATAAGTGTCTTTCATTCCTCATACAGAAAAGACAGGAAGAGTGCCCCAGTGAAGCGGTTGGTACAACCAACTGTCATAGCAACAAAGGAAGAACAAGCACCCAGTTTAAACCCCAACACTGCAAGTCAAGATGCTGTTGTTAGCGCTGCAGCTATTGCTGCTGCTGCTGCATCTGCTGCCACCGCACCATTTTTACAGGTACATTTCCAAGATTCCATAGAATAATGTGCAGTATTGTTTTGTTTGTTAGTCGACAACCCCCCACTGCTAATTCAAGTCAGTATATGTACAGTTTCGTCTACATAGGAGTTTCGCCTACTGAAGTTCGCCTACCTGTCAAATGCATTGTAAACCTATCTATGAAGGATGAGACAATTAACATACTGTCAAAAAGGAAAAAAATAGTTCTCATGTAAAGAATAAAAGTTTTATATATGAATGTCAACTTCAGTAGGTGAACCAATATGTAGGCAAAACTATTGGATACCCTATAGCCTATGTAGGAATATTAGGATTTTGTTCCTAATGTAATTTTTGTTCTGTTTCTTATAGCATGTTACAGTGAGACATATAAAAGTACATCTGGCGATAATGTATTTGCATACTTTTAATTGCTGGCTTTTGTACTTTTAACCAAAGTTCTGGCTTGTTTTACCAATTAAGGCGTATGAAAGCAGCAAAAAGCTTGCATGCATATAAGTATACAAATTAATGTGGTCATATTTTTGCAAGTTGCACTGTATCCCAACATATTAAAAAGTGACGTGTTTTTTTCTTTCAAAACCAACCTCTAATTCCAGCTGGTAAGAACTTTGCTCCGGGGGTCATACTGTATATGGACTGGATAGTGGCTGCTAGAAGCGCCCTCACTGTGCCACTGCTGTACTTGTGGTGGTGATTAGCAATGACAAATTTTTCCTTTTAATTTTTAGATCCAGCATGGACTAGAGTCCCAAATATCAGCTTTAGTTAGTTCTCTTAATGTATTGCATGACCAACAAACCAAGCTTGACCATCAGAAGGTTGTCGAACAAGAACATAGGCTCCAAAAACAATTGGATGCAAGACTCAAAAAGTTAGAAGAGGTTCAAAAACAATTCCTAGAGTCACAGGTTTGTACTTATGTCAGTCTGTGTCTGCCATGACATCAAATGTTGCTTGTTTACTTCAGGTTAATAGACAACTTGCATCAATAGGTCACATGACCCTACCCCCTTAAATAGAGTAGTAAGTTGTGAAACATCAGAAACACAGAAAAGCACCTGGATATCAGTAAAAAGGTGAAGTTTCAGCTCATAATGTTGACTATGGAGAAAATGAATATTTTATTAGGATTTGCATGAGAAAAGTTTGGCTGGTAGGCTTGAGCATTTTTCATGATTCGTTTGTTATGAGCTGAAACTCTGCCTCCCTAATAATATTGAGGTGCTCCTTTTGTTTCTGTTGTTCATTTTGACCCAGTCCTATTAATTATGCTGTGAATTACATAATCATAGCCATCACTTGAAGTTTGATAAACAAATGGAGAGCAGATATCAAACACTTACTTCCTTGTTTCTACTTTTTGAGATTACCAGTACAGAGATATGCATGAATATGAATGGAAAATTACTTAAATTTTGAAGTAGAATTCTATTAGTGTTTTGACCATTGGAAGTGTTTAAATTTATGTCTGTAATATCTTGACAATCTAGACAATGTGACAATAGTAATACTTATCATGTACGTATAGAGCGTTTGAGCATTTGTTGTACCATCAAAACAATAAATGTTCTATCCTTAGGTAATTGAACTCTATTTTTATGCAAAAACTGTGCAGAACATTTCTATTGTTTGGTACACCAATATGGCTGTCTTGTCACGTGAATGAAAACATTTCATAGAGCGTTTTCATTTAATGTCACAGTGGCCATTATAGGGTACCAAAACAATACATTTTCTATCCTCTGGGAATTGAACTCTATTTTTATGCAAATACTGTGCAGAAAGTTTCTATTGTTTATGGCTGCCTTCTCACATGAGTGAAAACACTCTATAAAAGTATCCCCAGCATGACAAGAGATCTTTTAATCAAAAACAATGCCTGGATCATGGCTAAATAGCCTTTAATACTTGGAGTATTTCTAATATTTTGATTGTTTTTTCTCCAGAACTCACAAACAAGTGTACAACCAAGACATCCCCATGTGTCTGATATTCCATATTCACATCCATCTGCATTAGTAAGATCTTCCACATCCTGTGTGTCTTCATCTGCTACCTCAGGCCCTGTGACAACTTACTATGGACATCCCAAACAACCACTCCCAACAACAATGGATAATCATAAGCCACCAGTACCCTATGTTCCTGCAAGCCAGCATTTCACCCAAAGAGCTGCACAAACTCAGACTACTAGTACCACTAAAGGTAACATATCATACATTTTATATCATTGAAAATATTTTCAAGTTGAACTATTGGTCATTATGAAAATAACCGTAATTATTATAAATCTCACATTCTGATATGTTATGTTATGTTATAGTAATTTTATATTTCATAAAATAAATAAAAAAACTGTTGCTGTCTTGTAGGCACTTATTTTTAAAATACTTGGGGATTGGCAGAACAGTTGAGGAGTGTAGAGAAGCATTCTGCTTAATGCTTTGTGCTTCTCCTAACACTACTCAAGTGTTCTACCTATCCCCTCATTCTTTATAATGCACAAAGCATGAACAAGTTTTCTATTTCTTCATATCTGTATATTTTTTGAATTCATAGATGCTCTATCAAAATTTAAGCTGGTAAAGAACACAAAGACCCAAACCTCTCCACAAGACTCTTCCCTCTTGTCTAGCGATTCCCCATTACAGACCCCACTCCCTAGAAAAAGACCACCTCTTCCAATGTCTCATGATAGCTTAATAAGATCACATGCTAAAGAACTTCGGTACTCTGAACTACCAAGAGAAAAGAGGGTGCATTTTGATGATCCAGCTTTGAGACAGTCACAGCCATATAAAAGTAAGTCATATTCAGTGATTGACTTACTAATGGATATGGCTAGAAAGGTAAAATGCCTTTTTGAATGCACTTTTCAAGGCAGTGGATTTATGTACCATATGATGAGATTTTTGCATACCAGGGGTCATGTAGCATGCATTTGTATTAGCATTTGGTAGGGGAAATGGACTTGGAAGCAGAAGAGCAGAAATGTTAATGATAAGTTCACTTATGTAAACTTTGAGTAATATTGCCAGGATTATCTAGAGACTACATTAGTTAATCCATTCAGACTGAAGTTTTTTGATAAGAACTTATGGCCACTCATACCAATTGAGTTAATGAGTTAATGCACAGACACATGGTGCAACATTGTGCCACAATATTGCCGTAAATGTCTTACAATGTTGATTGCCTCCAAGATTGCACCATATGTTCATAGCTTTAATTATTTCAAGTTTTTCCTTTCAAGGGGTTTTCATAATTTTTCAGACACAATATAAAGTAATTCTGTAGTAAGGGTTAAAGTTGGAATCATGAAGTTTGTGTTTTCTTCCAAAGGTTTTGCTGACATACAGTCCCATCCCAAGCATCTCGTAATGAATAAGCCAAACACTCATTTTCAGACCTTTTACCCACAAAGGTAAGTGCTGAGCTTAGTGTAATGAAAAGTTTATTAAAAATTAAATTAAATGTGCTAAAAAATATAATATTATTATTTACTGAGAAAGTCTCATCACCATATATAGTTGATTAAGAGTCCTCCCAACATACCAGTTTATGGGCCTGTATGCACCCTTTTTTATGCAGAAGTTTTGTGTGCCTGCTCATTCTGATGATGTCTTTCCAATGTTTTGATGGGCAAGTTGTCAAAGAAACAAGTTTTTCAATACTTCAAACCCCATGCCTCTGAAACAGAGTTGTTGGCCCTATTTGTTATTACATACACATTGTAAGGACAAAATAATCTTCATTTAATTTGACTTTGGGGTCTTCAGGAGAAGATGCTTCCAAATGTGTATGTTGTAAACTACAGCAAAGGTCCTAACATACTACCATGTGGCATACCAAGTGTAACTTTTAATAGATCTAAATAACAGTATGCAGAATAGGGCTTGAACCATTACAGGCTGATTGAGTTTACGCCTGCCCACTTGAGCATTTGAGGCAGGATCATTAGTCATTCAATGGACGTTTTCTGAAATAGCAAACCTGATGCATTGTGGTCTAGCTTTGATACAAACACACATTGTTCTTATATTATTATTCGTCTCTTCCGAAAAACCGAACTGCCTGACAAGAAGTAGATTATTCTTATTGAAATATGAATATAAATTGGACTATAATATATAATGTCCAAATTTTTTAAATATTTGTGAATGAGTTAATGATGATTATATACTTTTTTAATGCAAAGCATGAACGTCTATTTTTGGTTGAGGGTGGAAAGATGGGTCGATTGTGTGGGGTTCCATTGTTAAGTTTATTTTTGGTCGATGACGTCAGTACACAGTGACATTCACATCAACATTCAACTGGATCGGTAAAAATTGTTTTTTACTCAGTCGAAAAGATTTTTCTAGAAGTTTATTTTATCCCAGTGATGTATCTAGCATAGCCTAAGATATCTTATCACTAACTAGCATCAAAACATCCGTAGTTCATTGCTATCAAAGAAAGACTGATGTCTTGTGATATTTTAAGCTTAAGATAAAGACCTTGTCCACTTCAACAGCCGTATTCTTTTATCAAACCCTCTAGTAAATAGACAAAAAATCAGACTATTTCTTCTTTATGATGGCTGGTTTTAATAGCCTTCTCATATTTTCTTTTAGTTATTCATCTTGTCTTGCAAAACTGATTGATTGCTTTAGAGGCGTTTCGCCCACGCACTGTGAGGCGACTTATCTAAATTTCATTTTCATGTTTGTTTATTTTCTAGTTCGTTCTGGCATAAATAAAACAACATGCAAAACTAGGCCTTTTCACGTAATTTTCTTTAACCCCTGTTTGAATGAAAAATTTTTCACAATCATTTATTCAATATTCCCATTATCTTTGTCCATATTAAAGAATATAAAAACGCAATGATGTTTTATGGCACTGAGCCACATATAAAGAATTTACGATGGTTTTTAAGACATATTCAAGCTTGAATATTTTTTATTTATTTAAAAGCTCAGCACTGCATCAAGAAATTATAGGTCAGCTGTGTTGAGCAATCTAAAGACGTGTACTGGTCGGCGTATTTTGGTATTCATCCTCTCCCGTATTTCTTTTGGAATATTGCTGTATGTATTTGGTCATTCTGTGGTGCATTCAATTGTTACTTGATGCTTTGCCGATGTTATATTCAGCAGTGTTTTCAATTTCTGATAGTCAGCATATTGTATCTTCAGCTGCGTTTCCAGACAGACAGACCCGGTTCAGTGTGGTGTATTTGCGCGCACCGTCAACTCTTAGTGTACTCAAGCGTGTTGCGTGCAGACAGCTTGTACTCTTGTTGTACCATTGACGGTTTTAATGACAGTTATTGGATAAGAATGAAATATGATGAAATAGTTGGATATTTTCACGACTATCAAAACCATAACTTTCTTTAAGCCACACCAGAAAATTTACTGTTATCCTGGCGGTTTTCAACAAGGCGTACCAGTAAGGATTGAACGACACGCTTGGAAGAGGAATAGATTCTATTTATTATTCCTCTTTATCTTGTACTGTTTTACCAATTTCTTTTTTTCTTCTATTGAATAATGACGCACTTGAGATGACTGTTATCCCTGCGGTGCAGTAGGGATTGGATTTGGAAGATGAATAAGTCCTTAATATTATTCTTTTTCTTGACTGTTTTCCTATATCTTTTTAATTATGGACATTAACGCACTTGAGATAACAACAACAAAAGAAGAAAAGAAAGAAAGAAAGAAAAGAAAAGAAAAGAAAAGAAAAGAAAAGAAAGGGAAAAAGAAAGGAAAGGAAAGACAATTTCAATTTAGATTCAATAGAAATATGAAACAGCAACCAAATCGGCTCGTAAAGAAATGTTGTTAAGAAGAATATTCCTGTTTTGTTTGGATTTTTAGTCCCCTTTCTTCATAAATCAGCGGGAAATAGTCAGAGACTATGATTATTTTTCTCAGTTCTAGGTAATATTGGTCTTGCTGGTTGGCGAATGTTTTACTTCCTTAGCATAGCCGTAGTTTGTGTATATTCCGGTCACTGAGTTTTATCGAAAAAAAAAATCGATTTCTTCGGGCCTTTTTTTATGCGTACGACACAACTCATCTGATAGCTTTTATGGGGAGGAAAACTGGAGAGTCCGGTGAAAAACCCTCTTGGCAAGGAGAAGGACAGAGTACGTACATAACGTGACTGATTAGGAGACTGCCAGCAGGGTATTGCCACCCGTAAGTAGTGTGGTACTTCCTACAGTAGAATGTGATCGATATTTGTTAAATTTCTTTATTGTCCGCGTATCAATTTATACATTCATGATGATGTAAAACTAATAGAGGCCGATCGACATGCAAGTGATATTCTAACACGTGGATAAGGTATTCGGGTCACTGGGCGTCAGAGCACGGATACTGTTTTGAATGTTTAGACTGACATGCCTCTTCCATGGCTGCAAACCGAATATATTTAGCCATCTTCTTTACGTCTAGTCTTTCCTTATCCTCTAAACTATGTAGTAATTTTGGCAACTATAGTTACCCCTTTACCTTACAGCAAAACAACGTAACATTTGAAGAGACAACGCCCTGTAATTGATAGTCTATACTAGGCTCAAATGTCATACTGTAGCATTTGTTTATAATAACTATATATTCATTGGGTCAAAAACATTTTTTCCTCGTTATGTGCCAAGTCTCGAATGCAGGCCACCTGATTATAAATATTATTAAATAGCTAAAAAGAAACTTTAAAGGGATCTAAAGTAATGTTTTCGTAGCCTTGTCTCTAGTTCCTGACCTGTACTTTTCTAGGTAATGAATACTGTTACATTGGATCTTTGCTTGCTTGCCTCTTGAACACGTCCGACGCCCATCTCTTTACGGATGTGTCGTCTTCCAATCATCACATGATGATCATTCCTCTAGACGTATCTGGCGTTCCAACTATTGATAAAAACAGTAAAACAACGCGTCAGAGATAGATGGATGTTCTAACTTATTTAAAATGTACTACTAACAAAAATGTAATAGTTAGTGATTGCGAGAACTGACTTCTTTACGAGTAAATAAAATACAGCTCATGAAAGAAAGCACAGAGGCGCATATTCCTTCCAACAAGGGATTCGAATGTAGAATAGTATTACATGGTATAGATGTCGCTTGACCCGGCGTGGAATCTTTCCAATGGTTTTCACAGGTCAAGGTTACGCACGTTCTTTTCCATCTGCACGTGAAATCGTATCTGTTCTGCTAGACTTGTCTTCAACAACCGTACCCCTTGAACCATGCCAAAAAACATGCTGCTATGATCATTAACTATTTTGTAATATTACGAATATTACACGGTCAATGGTTTCAGTCTGTTGTTAACCCCATACCGTTAGGCAAGTAACGATCGAAACCTCATTTGTTCTGGAGCATATATTCTGAAGGTCATAAACCGCAATTTGTATTAGGGATATTTAGTTACGGTGGAACTGAAGATGGGCAGATATTGTGTATAGTAAGCACGATTCTTCTGGAGTCAAATCGGAAGTACCTCACAGGAAGTACTACTGATCTCGTCAGTGTAATGTTTTCAATCGTAAATCTTGACCATAACTAGACCATTACGTGGTGTATATATTACCATAGTGATCACCTAATATAGCTTCTAGAACATTCTCTAATGTTATTGGATCGATTAATCATTTAAGATTAAAATAGAATGCTTGGAACTCAAACAGCTTTTATATAAGTACTGAATGCAAAACTATAGGATGGTTATCTGAAAAGCAAAGATGTTATCGTCTGACTATTCAGGAAGGCCATTTCTCTGCTTTATCTCCTCGATTAGTTTTCAAGTGTTTTTCTCTCCGGGTGTTTGTTCGATATTATTTCAAGCCGGTTCTAGCGAAAAATTGTGAATTATGCACTTTTACATGTGCTGGATGTTATTGTATATGAAAGGTTATTCCGGGCAAATAGAGAAAGGTTTTTGCCTTGTCAGGTACTTAAACGCACCTACTAGGACTTCCTCTTGCTAAAGAAATATGGCCTTCAGCCAAAACAAACCATCAAAATGATGAAAGTGTTATTGCGTAGGACATTTGACTATTTATATATGGGCTTTTAATTCAGGTTTTTAAGTTGATATACCACTCAACTCCGATTTCAGTCACTTTCTCTTGAAATCCATCACTTTACTCAATCCATAGTTAATGGATTAACTATGCTCGAGCACACTCGAAGGTGTGTTGAATCAAATAGTACCAATTACTTTGTTCTTCCTGTAAGTCGGTATTGTTATAATGCTTAGCTTATACGAGGTCGTCTGTGAGCATATACGGACTCACTAACAGAAGACCTAGATACCGCATTATCAATGGCCATCCGATGTGGCAACTCTAGAATATAAATGAAACGAATAAGGAAAATGAATGGCACGCGTGACGTCATACGCTTTCAGAACCTTACAGCAGTCGTCATCTATTATCTAAACAGTTTTTTTATTTCCTCGTGATGAAGGAAGAGAAGCGGTTTATGATGCCAGTTTCCGTAAAGGAAGATAGAAATAACCACACCCAGAAATAAGGCGTTGTTGGTTCCACTCTGGATTACACCCAATCGATAATAATTGCCAATTTAGTATTGCACTTTTAAAGTATTAGAGTTTTTTTTGTCCACGAACGAAGATCCTTGCCTTGAAAAACTTGTAACGAAATTACTGTCTATTGTCCAACTAAACTGATGAAAATCTGTGGTATTAAAAATCAAAAACTGATAAAATTTATCTGGCAGGGGTCTCCCGCAATATTTCAACTTTTCCTAAGGTCACGGGAATCGCTGTCTTAATACCCTTTGATGTCTCCGATTTCTTTACCTTTTGTCACATCACTAAGCAATATGTCCATCAAGGGGAAAGGGACGTGAGTAGTAATGTTACGGCCATGTAAACAGAGCTAGTTAGTATCTGATAACCTTTCTTCCCCAGCCATTTGATACCAAGCCCAAATCATGGAAACTAAATATTTCAAGATTATCGATGACAAGAAATAATGTTTGTAGCGACAAGAAAAAAAAATTGTTTTATTTGTAGCGATAAGAAATATATAATTAGAATTGTAATAATAATAGAGAAAGAATTATAAAGTGTAGATAAATATGTAAATTGTTGGATAAAAATTCAGAAGAGCATGATTCATTCCTGGCGAGATGGCAATTTCCGTTTCATTTAGTATAATAAGGAAGGAAATAAATGAATTGATTTGTAGGAGGGAGAATGTTCATATGACCATGAAGACACAAAACAGCTACGACTCTACAAGCTTTGGTTAGCTCAGTTGCGTGACCCACAAAACGACACGATAAAATTTGACAAAAAACTGCTACCTTAATAACACTGAGGCTTGATAGTTATTGTCGCAGATTGTTTTTTTTTTTTTTCTTCTTCTTTTTTTTTTTTTTTTTTTTTTTTTTTTTTTTTTTTTTTTTTTTTCGACTATATTTACATTTCTTACTTCGGCGAGATTCTCTGTTTTTAGCCGTTTTGATACAGCTGTATTTCATTATTAGTGTTATCCAGTACTCTTGGCAGTACCCTTGTAAAACAAGGTCGAATTATTTGATTTATAATTTGGGATCCTCAGCTTGCAGCTGAACTTTATGCAGTATTCTCACTTGATATTCATTGTAATATGACGTCAATGACGTCACCTTCTTTCAAGACATTCCGTGAATAATTAATAAAAATCGACAGTGAACTCCCGCCCTTCGTATCGGACATCGATTACCGGATTTTCTTTGTTGAACAATCTGTTGAAAGAATACAAAAGCTTAGGTTACATTGACCAAAAGAGCCTTTGTTTTCTTTCAATCTCTCCGATTTCGTACCTTATTGCTAAGCGACGTAAAAACGCTGAAATATTGACATAAACTCTTTATCTTTGTACAGTTGTTATTCTTGTAACGCGCCAGTTATGCAAATGTTCTATCACGTGACAGGCGCCCTTGTTGACCATCAAACTTTTATATCACGATACTTTGAGTATCTAGAATGCATTATTAGACTCAAATCAATTATCATTTACTTGCTCTTCGTTAGTGAGATACACGAGTGATTCAATAACGCTCCAATACTGGCTAAAAAGGTTGACGCGTGTTTCGTAATGTGACCCTTTGGTTTAGGTATATAAGAAGGTGTATGACGTCATAGGTATCGTGTGTGATTTCATCTATTGTTTTGACGTCGTCTGACAAACGAGTTATGGTAATTTTCAACCGGGAACTAAATTTAGACTTATTTTAGCGCTCGGGGCGAGCAGATCACGTTTCCGCGTCATCCAAACTTTGGAGAGCTCATATTTATTCCGGTTGTGAATTGTTTTAGCTCCAAGTGAGGTTCATGTTCTAGTCTGTTCGACGTGGGTACTTTTCGTGTTGTTCTGTTCGTGGTTCGTTGAAAACATTCAACTAAACAAAGCTCGAAATCGAGCTACTGGAATCGTACTGGTCGCTCCAGTCAACAAATACACGTCTTCAAATGCTTGGAATTAATGGACGCGATAGAATTTTCTCTACGCTAAGAAAGGAAACATAATACGAACATTCAAGGTTGATGAGTTCTGTAATAAGGAAATCATAGCTTTCTTTATAAAGTAGGAAAGCGGTTTGGACTGACAAATATTGCTCATGTTAAAATGGCCGCTCGATTTCAGCGGCAGCAGTGCTTTCTCTGCGATTTGCCACACTCACCCTGGGCTGTCTTACATGATTTCTCCGAACCAATTTGCCGCGGATGTTGTAATTATGAAGGAGCAGACAGGATTGAAGAGGTTATCCAATATGTCCGCATTTTGAGAAGAAATTGGGAAAAAGCTGAAGGTAATCGTTCTCGAAATTCGAAGAGCGAAAGATTGAATTCAACCGGTTCATCGGTCTCTTCAACTCCAAGTCCACCTCCTTCACACGGACTATCAAATAATGGCGGTCCAAACTTCCCTGTCTCAGCAGAGCATAGAAGGATGTTGGGTAAATATCAAAATGTTCCCAAAGTCGAAGATGGAGTAGATCCTGCTTCGTATCAAAATGTGAGCGGTCCCTATCCCAAAATAAGCTCTCCTGAAACAACGAACGGCTCAAAAGCTGGTGGTAATCGAGCAATGGGGAATATCGGTGGTCGAGAGGGGGAAAGGAGAGCGAATTTTTACGAGGATACACGTCACAGCATGTTAAACGGAAGTGCAGTCAGAAATCATCAAGGCCAAGTGATTGCTCCACCTCTAGGACAACCTCACCTTGCATTAGAAGTCCCAAGACAAGAATACATAGCTCATGAGACTATTAATATTCTTAACAGAACAGTGCCATTTGATATACGTTTCAAGAAGGATCACAACTTAGTAGGTAGAGTTTTTGCATTTGACATCAGTAGCAAACTTGGCCAGGAACTTGAAATGAAGTTGTTGATGGAATATCCTCGTGGTTCTGGTTGTGTTTTTCAAAGTGCATCTAGATTGGCAAAGCAAATGCATGTTGATTCATCTAAAGAGTATGGTAGAGGGGTCTCGTCAGGATTTAAGTACATAGAATATGAGAAGGATCGTTCCAAAGGAGAGTGGAGGATACTTGGGGAATTGCTTTTAGAGTCCGTGCGACTCTTCAAAGAACCTGTCATTCAAGAACTATTACCTCTACGGAAGTTTGAACCAGATGATCCTCCAATACCTGCTGTTAACTTGAGCTTTAATCCCAGACCTGGAGCTTTGTATGGTCGTAAAAGAAAAGGCACAGATATAGATGAGTATGAACCAGGAAGGCCAGCTGGAATGATGGGGCGTTTTACCAAGGATGACATGATGCATCCAGCAGCAGGTTGGGTCCATGGTCCAGCTGAATATGGCAAGCTGACAGGCAGCGGAGCAGTGTTTCCTGGAACACCAATCAGTAGTATACCATCTGCATCCGTACTACCAATGGTTTCTACACCTGTTACTAAAGGTAATGTTATTCCATTACCTGTCAGTGATGGCCTTCTCCATTCACAAACCAAGTCTCCTATCAACGCTGTCCCTGGAAGGCTTGATGAATCTGTTGTTGGCATAGACTGTAGATCTGCCCTAGGCATTCAAGCAACACCTGCTAGTGCTGCTGGTTGTGTTTCACCAAGTTGTCGGTCTCCGAGACCCCCAAATGGACCAATCTCCAAATCTGCAGAGACACAAAGTGGTGGACCAGAAGGCGAAGGAAAAGACAGAAACCCAGGATCTGGAACAAATATCTTGAGATGCAGTTTATGCCGTGACAAGCTTGAAGATACCCATTTTGTACAGTGTCCTTCCATTGGGCATCACAAATTTTGTTTCCCATGCTCCAGGGACAGCATCAAAAAGCAAGGAGCAGGATCAGAAGTGTTTTGCCCAAGTGGAGAAAGATGCCCACTTCAAGGAAGCAACTTGCCATGGGCTTTCATGCAAGGTGAAATAGCTACTATATTAGGAACAGAGTTCACAGTCAAAAAGGAAAAAGAAAATTGACAAAGGAATTAAAAGCTTCCTGATTAACTTTAAAAAACTTAGTGAAACATAGCAAACTCATCTTATAATTATTAGTTTAGATCACAAAGCTGTTAAATATTCTGGATAAACCTGCATTTGCAAGAACCTTGAATAGCTAGTATGTTTACAGGCCTTACATTTGGGAACTGGAATATGTTTCACCAAGCAGGTGAGAAAGGAATAGGACAATTGCATTTTGGAGTCATTAACTACAAACACCAAAATCCCTTGCACACWTTCTTTTGTTCAGTTAATTAGCACCAATTGTCTTACTATTCTCATGAGTGAAATATGAATTTGAATATGACAGAAAATTTGTGTAAAGCATTTCGGTAATGGTAGTCAAATGATGCCATCCTGAAAACGGCCAGTTTCATTGTTCTTACTAGCAACCATCAATCATAACTGTGTAAGTTCATGGTTCCTACTCTGACAACAGCCAACCAATGATTGATGCAGCATCTTTTCCAGTGAAATTAACTTCTTGTCCCACAAACAACTGCATAGTATCTATTTTAAAGAGTACTGCAAGTATTACAAGGCAGTCTTCTTTTATTTTCACAGAACAGTAAACTATTGAAACAATCAATTTTCTGTGATCAGAGTTTTAAATTCTGAGAAAGTTTAGCTAATTTGTTAAGCCCTGTTTACGCTGGCGATTTTTGCAGCGATTCATTTTGTGGCAATGTTTGGAAATATGAAAAAAACTTTACAAGTAAATTCTTTACCATTATTTATTATGGACAAAATTGCAAAAAAATCGCCGCAAAAATTGCTAGTGTAAACGGGGCTTTAGGCTTCTGCGACATAACAATGGTAACTAAGGGGAGTTTGAACCATGAATAATTTGGGGGTTCATAAAAAATGTGCTGTATATTATGTAGCTTTATCATAAAATGAGTTTATTACAAATTAGTTTTTGAAAAATACCAATAGAAGTCCAAGTGTTTTTAATATAGAGCCACAGCAAAGCTGTAATTTCAAGCATTTTTACTTAGAAAGAATAATAACTATTGAGGAGTTGGCATGGAAAGGATAAAATACCTGCATACAAACATAGAGAGCTCGTTTTCTATTGTTCTTAGGATATGAAAAGAGTTATGATTTATTAGAGTTTGAGTTTTGAACTCCTTAAAGTAAAAAGAGTGTTGTTATTAAGTGTACGTTTTCAAAACAATGTACTGTACATGAAAAAACTGATGGGCAAATGGTAGAGTGATTTTATTGGGCCTGGTAGAAAAAAGTTGTATAATTAGTGCCTGGCAATCAAAGTAAGACAAAGAAAACAATGGACTTTGGGTTTACTAGAGTGCATACCTGTGAAATCTGTGAAAAAAATTGTAAGAAATTACACAAATTTGCACAAATTAGTAAGTACAGTAGACCTCAGTAGACCATAGACCTAGAAAACTTTGCACTAATTCGTACAATTTTGTTAGTTAACTTCTTCACAGATATACTGTATGCAATCTACTATATATTATACTTACTAATATTTTATGGGACAAGTTAAGTCACTCTAATATCAATATACCAATGTTATTACATGTTTGACGTCCATCTCAAGTTAAAGTTTGGCTTGAAATACTAGCTGTAAATGAGATTAGAACACTTAATCCATGCAAATACGTAGTCGTGTTTTATTGTCGGTTGACACGTATTTACTGTTGCAAAGAGTACTTGACGTTGTTTTTGTATTCTTAAAGGATGAGACTTGTGTTTATAGTCTGTTGCATCAACTTTTTCATGGTAATTCTACACTACAGTCATTATCTATCATCCTTTTTAACACAGTTTCTTATATTATCACAGTGTGAATAATCTTATTATGATAGAAATAGTGGCTAGTGTTGATATACATATTCATAGTTATTTAGTTGTAGGTTGTGTTTGTGTAAACTGTCAGGCAGAGATCATTAGCCGTCAGTTATTTATGAAGTGACTAGAGATAACTTACTTTGTCTCTTTATCTATATCACACTGTTGTATTTCATGTGAAGTTTTCTCTTAATAAATGTTTTGAGTCTGAGTCAGATTTTACGTGTCATTGTGCATTTTCCTTTCTTTTCACACCACAAGAGTTTTCTTGAATAATTTGCTTCAATTTATGCAATATTAAAACAATTCCTCAAAACCTCTTTATTAATTTGTACTCTAACCACATAATTAAGTACATAATTTTATATAATGCAAATTAGCATTTAAAATTTTTCAGGTGATTTGCTGATGTCGATGTAGATGGAGTAAAGCTTTATTAATGAACAATAAACAAGAAAAAGCATTTATAACCTAAAATATTCATGTGTTGAATAAATCCAATGATTTTTACCTGAAACATTATGAGGCTTATTAAACAAGTTTCTTAGCTAAGAATTCTGTTGGCTTAAACCAACAAGTTGAATTAACATTGCCCCCTTGATATGCAGGCTGTAGTTCAGTATTAGTCCTCTTCACTGTTCCTTTGCCATTTGAAATTAATACTATTATAATGAACATCAGTTTAACATCAGTGTCTTCTATCATCCTGGTGGATGTTACAAAGACAAAGAAAAACTTTCCATTCCCCCTTTCCACTTTTCTATTCTGTTAAGTTTAGCCTGTAAATATGTGGCTCATAATTCGTCTCTCTTTTAGTTGTTCATTATCATAACTTATTCAAACTGTAAGATGACTATTCTATATTACACCTTTAAGATCAAAACTTGTCCCAGTCTCTTGCTTTTTTCTAAAGTGGCCTATAGACCTTTGAGAGTTGGGCGTAATGTTATCCCATTTCTGACCACGTCATTTCCTAGAATATGATTTCTTTGTTTAACCATGATACATGAGAAGACGTGAATATGAATATGACTCAGACTAAAAATCTTATTCCAAAAAGAATAACACTTAGTCTGATATGGGTAAATGTTTAACGGCCAAGTTAAAAAAGGGCTACAGTCTTACTTTCTCTGTAACCATCTGTATTTCAATTTAGAACACTAATTTACCTTGCATTAAAGATGTGTAATGGAGACTCTTCTCAAGGAGTTCTTTGGATTAGCTTCCTAACCTTTCCCTTGTAATAAAAACAAGATAAACTATAGAAAGGAATATGGGGTTAAATAAATAATTTTGTTTTCAGGGAAAATATTCAAGAAAAAGAGAAAATCCAGCCATCTGATACAAGAGAAGTTGTAGATGATTTGAGCAGGATAAAGAAGGACTTGAAAAGTGTGATGATGGTAATGTAGAATTAATAATGGGAAAGTACTATTAATAAGTGCTAAATAGATAGGTGTTTGTTTTCTATTGTCAAGTTGTAGGACTTAGCATACATGTAATACACCTCTTTTCTTTGGATGCAATATTTTCCAATTTCAAACCATGTGTCATTCCCCAGAGTATCATTTCTTTGTCTAACAATTGTGTATGAGAAGACACATGAATATGGATACAACTCAAAAAAAGATCATATTCTCAAGAGAATGACACATGGTCTGAAATGGGGAAAAATTACGCCCAAGGTAAAGAGGTCTATTAGTACTTTGACATGAGCTTATTCAGTGTACTCTATTTAACAAGGACTGATATTTTTTATGAAAAACATAGTTTGTATAAAATTGCTAATTATGTACTGCTTAATAAATTTGAAGGAGTGTTTTATCAGGATTTAAAAACACGAGGCATAGCTGAGTGTTTTGAGACCTGATAAAACATGATCTGCAAGTATATTGAACGGCTTCAAAAACTGATGATGTATGTTCTCATATCGTACTGAATTCTTTACGAAATGAACCAAGTTTGATAGAGAAAATCCAAGTTAAAGTTTATGCAAATGAAGACGAATCTATATCAGATATAAAACCTCCTTCATGGTCATGATTTCTATTGTGTTTCCTTCATGAATTATTTATGAGTTTTTGAAACAAAATTACTGCAGTCTGAACTCGTGTATTTCTGGACTTTTTATTTTGATGCAAGATATGAGTAATATCATGAGCATAGCTTTGCTCAACATTGTGGAATGCTTTAGGGGTTTCTAAATAATAAAATGCTTGTAATTTTGTTATTAGGAAACTGAGAAAATGAGGGACAACCTCAGCTTGCAGAAAACCAAAGCTGTGAGTACATATGATACTCAGAATAATCTTCGTGTGGTTAACAATAATTAAAGTTAACTTTCAAGAGTAAAGGCATCTTTATTATGATCAAAGTCATTGTCATGATTATTATTTATTATAATGGAATATTGTAAGTAATATATACAGTATGAGTGGCCGTGTTGCATCAGAGCCTCGAGTTTGTATATCGGATACAACACGGACATGAATACTGTAGATTGCTTGTCAAACATCTAGGTTAGTTCCTTTGTGTTTCACTAAAATTTTCAAAAATAAAGTGAATCTGGCCAAGAAAATCCAACTTAAAGTTTATGCAAATGAACATAATTTTGTATTAGATTTACAACACTCTTCATGTTCGTTACTTCTGTTGTGTTTCCCTCATGAATTATTAATGAGTTTGACAATAATTATTGTCTTCATCATAATTATTGTGCATAGTAACAAGCATATTCATAATTTACCAAAAGTAAATAGCTTTATCATGATCATCATCATGATCATTAACTTCAGAAGTAATAAATTAAGTCATGTTTAAGGAAAATGTTTCCACTAATATATTGTATTTACATGCCAGATAAAATTATCATGATTTAAATAGTATTGATCAGTTATGAAAATAGCACAACATTATACCAAATGTACCAGTACAGTTACCTGTGAAGATTTCTGTAATTCAAAATATATTTTAATTATTTTATGCTTTCTTTATATTTGATTGTTATGCATTTTTTATAAAGGAAATTGAAGAACATTTCTCTCAAGTAAACGAAGGTCCTTCCCCACTCGATGCCTATCTGGTAAGTATAATACCAGTCATTTTATCATAATAATTATTGACTAAATGATTTATCGTCAGGTGGCTGAGTGCGGTACAGACAAACAGATCTACATTGACAATAATACTAGCACAAGTCAACAGCTTTATAAACAGAAAAGACATATGGACAAAACATAGACATTTATACAGACACACACACAGAGGACCAAGTGGACAATTGACAGACACATGTACAGAATGAAGACACAGGGTGGACAAATGACAGGCATGTATAGAAAGACAGACAGAGGGTGAACAAATGACAGACACATGTACAGAAAGCAGACACAGGGTGGACAAATGACAGGCATGTATAGAAAGACAGAGAGGGTGGACAAATGACAGACACATGTACAGAAAGACAGACACAGGATGGACAAATGACAAACACATCTACAGAAAGACAGACACAGGTCAGACAAATGACAGATGTATGTATGTGTACAGAAAGACAGACACAGGGACAAATTATATACAGACATATAATATTAACAAATGACAAACATGCATAACATACACAAGGAAAAATTATAAACCTAAATTTGAACTAAAATAAGATTAATATTTCTTTCAGTCTTCCTCGGAAAATTCAAGACCAGCTAAGAAAACAGTGATAGATAAACTGACAGGTAATGAGACTATTATTGAACTGTAAATACCCCAGATGTTGGGCTTCCTGTGGATAAAATCACACAGGCATCCCACTTGAACATATGATCATTTTCGTGTTCACATTAGGCTAGTAATTTTATTCTAATTGTTGTTTATTATACAATAATTTCATTAGGTAATTATAATATTAATCAATTCCATAATTATCTTAAAATTTTCAGCTGCACCAGTAGTTGAACATTACACTGATGCTGAACGCATATTGAGGAATGTGCAAATGAAACGTAACAACTTGGAGTCCAATCTGAATGCCATAATGAGACAGACAGATGAAGAGCACATGTATGCTGCTGTAGATAGTATGATACAACAAGCACAGGGGTAAGT